GGGTACTGAAGAGTCATTTGTAAACCACTTTGAATGCTACGCAATCAGCACAGCATCAGAGCTGCACAAAATGGGAACCAACAGGAAGGGCCTCGGATCCAGGGATGTCAAGACTTGTAGAAGCTCCGTTTATCCAACAGTAACTTCGAGAGTCCCTGCGCTGTGAGATAAATCAGCCAGGAGGGAGATCACACCGGGGCAGCATTCTAACAAGAGACTCTAGAGAAGAAGAGGACCGGGACACACCAGATTTCAAGGATCTGGTGGTGAGGTCCCCAGGCTGTGGGTGGAGCACACTTGGGTATCAAACAAGGGCTAACACAAAACAGAAACTACCTTAGGATTTAAATCCCAGGCGCTTCAATACAGGGAACTGGTTACTCAGCTGAAGAAAGAGCTGGGAAGCCATGGGGGACAGCAAGGCCACCCACAAACTGACATCAGCAGGTCAGCACCATCCTAGGCAGGAGGGGCACTGGGGTGTTTCTGGACACCAGGGCTGTGTCACCAAGATCAACTGCAACCGCTACAGGACATTAGTCACTGTGCTGGGGCCTCAAAGAAAAGGCGAGTCTGGTTTCTGTCTCTACAGGGAACCCAGGGAAGGGCAGCCCACAAGGTTCTCCCCAATCCACAGCAGAGCAGGAGAAGGGGGAAGACAGATTTGAGGGTAAAGGAGTCCCACAGTGCCCCACCTTTCCTTAGGTAGAAGAGTCAGCACTCAACGTGCAGCAGCAGACACATCACCTGGGGCTCTTCCTGAGGTGTGGATTCAGACACAGAAGTGTGGACAGGGGCTGCTGGCCTGCATCTCCAACCCACTCCCAGATGACGCTGATGCTGCGTGTGCATGAACCACACTCAGAACAGCCAAGATCTAACTGACTCAAATGAGGCACAGAACTATAATCAAAAGGATCAGCCAGGTTCCCTCGGAGAAGAGCACAGAGTTGTAAATGAGCCTTCCAAACAGAAATGAGAACAGTGCAACTGAATTCGGGGAGCAGCACCGCCCACCTGCCGCTCTTCCCCTTGGGCCATGAGATTTGCAGGGTTCAAGGTGCTGAACTGTGCTGCCCTCCAATTCATCTGCCGAAGCCCTTAACCCTAGTACCTCAGAATGTGGGTACATTTGAAGATAGTGTCTTTAATTAAGCTAAAATTAATTAAGATGATTCAAACAAGGCTGTGGGATGGGCCCTAAACCACCTGGCTGGTCTCCTTATAAGAAGAGCAGGACCCACAGAAGGAGAGCAGGGCTGCAGGCACAAAGGAAAGAGGCCACATGAGGACACGGAGTGGGCAGCCTCGGAAAGTCCCCGACTACCAACCCCTTAATGTTGGACTTCTCGCCTCTAAATTATAAGCAAATACATTTCTGTGGTGTAAGCCCCCAGTCTGTGGTGTTTTGTTTTGGCGGCCCCAGCACATTAATACAAAGGTTTTATTTGTGTTTCTTGACACTGACTTAATCCTATAAATTTTCTCTGCACGGCTGCTCTGGAAAAAGCCACATTCTCAGAGCTGCTCACAGACCAGTAAAGAGACAGGCCTCGCCAGGCCCTGCTCCTGTCTTCCTTGTGTGAGAGTTGGCAGAAAGAGGGAGAAACCAAGGCCACGTGATTCAGATGATGCTACGCACCAAGACAGAAGCAAAACCCTCCCTGAGAACTGGGGGGAGGCAGCGAGGTCAGGGAGGGCTCCAAGCCGGATCGACAGAGGCACGGGAAGGAGAGAGACATAACAAGGGCAAAGGCCAGGAAACAAAAAAAAAAAAAAGTGTCGGGGGAGAACTGGGACAAGGCAGATGAAACTGAAAAGGAGACCAAGGCCTCTGGGACCCGGAAGGTTATTTAGACCTTAGAAAATAAACATTAATGAAAATGAGGCAGGCAGATTCAGGGGCAAGAACGTGGAGACAGAGTACAGCACGGAGAATAAAAAAACTCTCTCGTGACCTAAGAGCTGCCTCTTGGAGATAATGGTCTATGCCAGCTACTTCCAAAATAACTCGGACATTAGGATCCCTTCCCCTGCTAACCTGGATATGAGGAAGAGGCTGCATCCACTGTGCTTTCCAAGCTGGAAACTGGGGTGTGTGGGAGTTACGGATGAGTGTCACAACCCAGTGAGTCACAAAGGGAACGTGAGCCTAAGACCCAAGTTCCAGATCCCTCAGATCAAAGCCACGGTCTCCAGCCACTATGGCCACACTGTGACAGGCTCTGTGAGAACAGTGAAGGCCTGTCATCAGGGCACATGCCCACCCAGTGCTCTTTCACTCTCCCTACCCTCATTCAGCAGACCATGGATGCTACTCGTTTGGGGCAAAAGAAACCACAGGCTAGATACCAAAAAGACAGCAAAGTTACTTATATATGAGCAACCAAGAGCTTAAGGCCTGGTGACTTCCAGGGAAATTTAGGGAACTTTCAAGACTGCTTCTGACTTCAAGGGACCTCTATCCTACACGCTGAGGTCAGACTCCTGCTCCTGCATGAGAGGGGGCTCCCCCACATTCCTGTATTCCAACATTGCTCAGGATGCAGTAAATGTAAGCTCACGGAACAGGTGGCTGCCTCTGAGTTGGGCCGGGTTTTACGCAGCACTACTAGAACAGTAACTGATACAACCCACAGCAGAATGTGGAAGAGCATCACACAAACCACAGGTACAAACCTATCCACCAACAAGCACCTTCTAGGGAATGTTTTCCTAGAGAGCATCTGGGTGGCCTCTTCTCCTTCGCCCTCAGGCACTGTTCTTCAATATGAGTGGAAGACAGTCTCGAAGGTGTCAAATGGGAACAGAAAATGGCTGTGGAGTTAAAGCAATCTAAAGTGGGCTTCCACGGTCAAGAGGAAGGAAAAGTTGAAATAGCATTTGGCTTTCTCATAACCTTTAACACCCAACACCTATCACATTTCTTCCTTCTCATCTGAAGTCATAAAAAATAAAAACAATTAGACTTATTTAAAAAATAGGATTTGAATTGGAGGAGGATTTAACTTCTGTGCCCAAAATTACCTTATGAGAAAAAGCATGACTTGTTCAGGGGTCTCGCTGCCACAACATGGTGTGGAAACCTTTGCAGAGTCGACATAAAACGCCAACTACAGGCCAAGGACAGGCGCCACCACAGCAGCAGAAGCCACAAAGCTTCAATCTCGGTTTCTTCCCCCATTGCCTCCCATGATAATGCGCATGACACATACTAATGACTCTCATACAGCTAATTATTTGATTTCTTAAGCAGAATAGATTCTTATCATCTGGGGCAACTTTCCTGAGGGAAGTCATATCATGTCATGAAAAGTCAAACAACCTCTTTGAGAAGATACAACTTAAACAACAAAAAAGTCACATCTTTGGTGAGCTTCATCCACGCCTGACTATTGTAAAATGTAAGTGAAGTCTTTGTTCAGTTTCCTGCACAAAAAAACTCAACAAAACAAAGACTGAAATACTCAGAATACTAAGGTGTTATTCCAATCAGGACACAGGAAAGAGGAGTCTAAACGCAGAAACCCTCACTTACTGCAATGTAGAAGTCACTTGAAAGAATCTCTCCAGGAGTGTTGCACCCAACCTCCCACCATCTCAACTCAAACACAACCTGTGACATCACAAGAAACAGACTTTTTAACCCCCAGAACAGCCCACATTGCCTAAACAGTACATGGAGAACTTCACATAAGTTAAGGCTGACCCAGTGCTCTGAAACAGCGTCAGATGCAGAACTCAGTGGGGCCTCCAGGTCTTCAGAGGTTCACTCCTATGAAGCAGAACTTGGGTATGCCATTTTCATGCACAAGGGATCCATGTTAGGGTTCCCCTAAGACATTCAGTTAAACTGCATTTATCCAGGCTCCCCAGTAGCAGGAGATTCACTCCTCTGCAATGGTTTACCTCAACAGACTTCAAAAACAAACCTCAGATTCAATAGCCTCTGAATCCCCTCTTCTCAGGCATAAAGTCAGCCAGATGCTGTCAAAACACAAAATTCGAATCTGAACCTCAAACCTTGTATGGCTGACCCTCAACACGGGACAGGGCTTTCCTACCAACTCTGCAGAAAAAATGAACAAGAAGAAACTTGTAATTTGAAAGACCAAGTATGAAAATGGAGACTATTACTGACATCCTTTCAAGCAGAGTCTTGCCAGAAATGCAAATCACCCCCATCTAGTCCTGGAGACACACAGAAAAATATTTTGGTAGGAAATCACTAGCTTAGAAATGTCTGAACTCTAGCCATGCTATGCAAGCATATTCCACAATACTGCCATGGGAAGTATTCTTTTTTTATTTAACTTAACGCTTTTATATTGGTTTTAACAAAAGCTGAAGAAGAAAGTGGATGCCCTTGAATATTAAACAGAGTTCTAATATGTGCTGAACAAGTAAAAGGAAACATTTTCAACGCCAAGATAACCTGTCCATGTTAAAACACACCGCTTTAATGTCTAATAGCCTCTTGTCCTATTTCTTCACAATCAAACCAGAACCCCTGTCCCATGAGAGTCACTGAATGCCCCACTGATCCCCATCTCACGAGAGTCACTATCTGCCCCACTGATCCCCATCCCACGAGAGCACCGACTGCCCCACTGATCCCCGTCCCACGAGAGTCACTAACTGCCCCACTGATCCCCATCTCACGAGAGTCACTAACTGCCCCTCTGATCCCCATCCCACGAGAGTCACCGACTGCCCCACTGATCCCCGTCCCACGAGAGTC